GGGCCTCGCCCTTGGAAACTATTCACCACCTTGCATGTTTCCTTGACGACTTCACTTCGAGGAGAGCCCACAGCCTGGCACAGAGCCCTTTCCAAGTCAGAGATCTGATCTCCGCTTACCAGAGCCCTGCAGGCTGTGATTACCAAGGCACAGCAGAGCACTTTCTGTGCTGAACTGCCGCGTTGGTGAAACATATGCAGGTGGCAGGCAGCCTCAAACAGAGTCACCGCGTCGGCGGCCATTTTGTGCCATTCCATGAAATTCAGCAGAGTTTTCACTGCATTGATTAGCATTTGCAGACTTTTCTGCAGATCTTCCAGGTCTACAGGCATTTCAGACCCTCTCCAAGCGCTTCAGCTGGAGGCATAGGCTCAAAGGTCCAAGCTGGGCAACCGACAGCTTGCTTCCTGCAACGCGTGGCAAACGTGTGCCCAAATGCTGATGTCAAACAGCCAAGTTTCCTGCCTCCGCTTCCTGCTTTTCGCGCCCAAGCTCTCAGACAGGCCGAGGGACTCAATGACAAGACTGTACCTTCCATCATAAAAACGAAAGCATGAACGCGGGCAACACAACAGCCAGCCAGGATCACATTTCATGAGGTTGGAAAAACAAAACGAAAACATTTGCGCTGAGCCACACAGACCCAGGCTGCACAACAGAAGCATCGCCCCTTGAGAAGAGGGATTGCCCTTCTTGACCTGCGCTGAACTTCGTTGTCAGCCAAAAGCCGTTGATCAAAGCTGAACGCCGGAGGATATCCTCAGCAACAGCCTTTGCACGCCGCTCCGGTTCCACAGGCGAATTTGCCCTGGGCCAGCTGGCAAAGATTTGAGCACAAACAAGCATTCAGTGGTCCGGTTTATTGGGGGGACCCTTGCGCGTGGCTGCGGGGTAAAGCCGAAGGACGCGTGCAAGCTGTATGGGCACCCAATGTGGGGGTCTGCGTAGCAGTAGCGGTGCAGCCCGTGCTCTTGAAAGGTTGCCTGGATTTTGTCCATCAAAACCTGAGGCATTGAGTTGATGACAATGTTTCCTGCTAACAGGAAACTGGGCATATGAGCATAAACGGCTTGAACCATAAGCACACACACAGTCCAACTTCACATACTGCCCCAAGCAAGCCACATTGTATTCGCCTGGAGCTGGCGCAGCCTCATTCATCCTGGCCACCCACCAAGTCACAATCTCAGCCTCGTGAGCTGAAGCAATTTGTCAACGCGTGTTCAAGGCATGCGCTTGACGCTTTCTGAGTTTGGGCCCTGGCCAAAACAGGTGAATGAGGTGGAAAATGCAGCGGCACGCTGAAGTATATTTCCTCCCCGCTTTTCCTAAGAAAGTGCTTCAACCAATATGTCTTGTGGAACCGGCATCGAAGCACTTGCGCAGAGCATGCAAGATGACCCAGGCTGCGTGGGTCCCAGCTGAATTTGCGCACATCGATCCACAATTGGTCCAGGTCCTGAAGTCACACCAAAACAAAAGTGTGAAATTATAACGTTTGTTCATTTTTGCGCTTGATTTTCTGGTATTAGTATAATGTGTGTTCTTTCTTTCGTCTGGCTGAATCTTTTCAGTCAGTCAGTCAGTCTGCCCTTCAGTCTAAGCGCCACTCCCTCTCCCTCTTCCTGGGCAAAAAGATTGGGCCAAGCTTCTCCAAACCAGCCTCCCCCTTCGAGCGCCAAGAGCCGAACACGGTCCGCTACATGTTGCACCCGCCATCCATCGCTCAAGGCCCGCGCAGCTGCTTCCCGGGACCATAACACGTCAGCATCACGCCTGAGTGAAGCATGGGGTCAGCCAGCAAGCGCAGACAGACCATCAGAGAAAATTGGCCACAGACAGACAGCCGAATGATATGCGATCGAGGCGCAAGTTCACCCTGTCCGGCAGTCCGCAGCAAGTCTGGTACGACCAGAGCTCTACAGTCTGGAAGGCTTGGCGAGCAGCCAGGAGGTGGAGTTTGAAGACGTCGCACAACCAAGTCACACTGCCAAACGGCACAGAGCAATTGTGCCAGAAAAAGACTATTTTGTCTACTGCTTCAACGGAAGAAGGTTCCAACATTTTCTCCTTCAGCGCATTGTACCTTGGAAGCGCATGGTAAGCAATTTAATGTCTTGGGGTCGACTGGGTCGCATATAAACTTTTGCTGTTCTCTGAGCATCGCGCGCCTGCATGCTGCGCATTTCTCTGGCCACAAGCTGGCGGCATTCCTCATTATTGAGAGACCGGGTCTCACCAGAAGAGCGGCATTCAATGCACTTCTTCAAGGACAAAGACCTCATCACCCGGTCGACTTCATTCTGTGAGGTACCAGAGGCGCCACGTCGAGCCGGCATGGCCAGGCACAAAGCAAAACAAGGCTTGAGGGAAGTGGGGCTGCAAGTTGCAACAGTAACAAACAGGCACCAGCAATGCAACTGATAAAAATAGCATAGCGACAAGCCAGACAAAGAAACGACACAAGAAGCCAGGCGCACAGTCAAATCCAAAGAAAAATACTGCGCAGAAGTCGCAGGATGGTTCAGCCAGCGCGCCAGCTTTCCAACAGCAAGTCCCCAGGAGGTTCTATATACTATTAGCAATCCGACGCTGTTTTGAATTACTTTAGTGCGCAATTCGAACTCAAAGAGAAAAAACACCAAGACAGCACTTCGACTCTATAGCCGGGCCCGCGAACGGGTGGAGCCACTTCTGTGTTTGGGTTTTTTCTGTGTATATGTCGCAAGGTTCCCATGTTGCTTTTTGTTCATCAAATCACAAACACAGTCTCAGCCAGACAGAGACAGACAAACAAACAAACAAACAAGTCACATAAAGAGACGAAAGCGAAACTCTCCTTTTGTTCAACTCTAGCTTCTCAGGACTTCATGAATTTGGTCAGTTTCGCCAGCATGTCCGGAGAAGAGAACGTTCCCAAGAGAACGTTCCGAAGCATCAACCCTGTCACACATGCCAGCTTGTATCCCGTCGCGCATGCCTGCAACCGAGGCGCCACCTTCACCTTGTAGGCCAGCTCTCGCGCTTGTGGGCTGACTTCCATATCAGGGTGTTCTCTCATCTCTTTCAACTCGTTTTGGATCTTTTCTATGAGCTGTTCTTTCTCTTTGACTTCTTTCTGCATTTGCTCTTGGCGAAACTTGGCGCCAAAGTCTGCAGCTTTTCCTCGCTTCGCTGGCTGCTGCTTTGGCTTTGGGCTGCTCGACTTCGGCTTCCCACCCTTCGTCCTTTCAGCTCTGGCACATGAGCTTGACGCTGCCTGCGTCTGCTCCTCCGCGGCGGGCTCTTCTGGCTGCTTCCGCTTCCTCGCATTCTTTGCGCGCGCTTCATCCGGCAGAGGCAGAGGCTCTGCCCCAACAGCTTCTTTGATCTTCTTGGGTCTCCCTCTTCCTCTACCTCGCCCACGACCCTGTCCAGGCTTGGGAGGCTCTTCTTCAGCAGGCAGCGCTGGTGGCAAGTAAGCTTCTGGCACGTCTTGCTCTTCGATGTACCTGGAGACTTGCAAGGCCACGAAAAGGGATGCGCTACCGAAATTTGGGAAAGAGTGCAGCCGGGCATGCTGCTGAGGCACTGGGCTTGCCGCAAAGCTTCAGCATGCATATCATTCATCCATTTGAGAACAATCGACAAGGCAGCCTGTTCTGAGCGGAGCCCCCCGACCAAATCGGGCGCTCTTACTTTGTCGCACTCCCGGGTTTTTGTACCAGCCTGCGACAACAGGAAAATAATTGAACCTTTGGCAGCAGTCATGCGCGCACTCAGGTGGACAGGCTGAGCTGACAGACGAACCGATGCAAAGCAGCTCAAAAGACTCTTCGACCAGTCGCCTAGTAAACTAACTAGAGACACCAGGATCAGGCTAGAAGAACAAACAGGCCAAGGCTGACGCCTTGCGCAATGTAAATGCGATTCTCTGGGCCATCTGCAGACGTGTCGATGTCCTGATCATCTTCGTCCAAGGCATCACATTGACCTCCTGCAGCTAAAGGCACCACCACAAGCCGCACATCTGAGGGCGGCAGGAGACCACCTCCAGGAATCATGGCCTCATGGAAGCCAGCAACACACCTACAGTTTTTCAAAAAGCGATTGGAGGCCTGGGAGACTAAGCGTGTCAGCTAGCACGAAAAAAAACAAAATGCTCGTACGCGTCCAGGCGCTTTGTATTTTGCTGGTGTATGGTGATGCTTCAAGAAAGCCTGTGTTTCTTGGCGGTCCTTTGGGGCAAGAGCAGCGCTCCTCAGTTGCTTGTCCACTGCCTCAAGTTGGACAAAGGCTTCTTGATCGGTGCCAGACATCCAATCCATGACCAAAGCCAGGTCTTTGTCACCCAGGTAGTGCCGTGAGGTCTTCACAATCACCAAGTCGTGTACCCAAAGCGTGGCTTCGTCTTCTGGCAAGCCTGCAATGACCATAAATTAACGGGCTGACTGAGCGCAAGAGTTTGACACCAGTCCCTGGGCAGTTCACTTCTCACTGTTGCGCCAGGCCCCACACACTCACATGGCAAAACCTATCCCATTGAACCCCTGGTCTTAGTCTTGGCTCTTCTTGAGGCATGTTTTTCGTTCCACACACACTCTGGCTCGACTTTGCGCCCAGCTGTGAGCCTGGCTCGAAATGTTGCACAAGCGCTCGGGCAAAGGGGACACCATCTTCTGCGCGCACGCCCGCATGAGGAACAGCCACACCCACTGCCTGGGGCAAGGCAGAATCAATAGCTCATGCCCATTGTATTGATTCTTGCGAACCCATCTGCAGCCATGTCCAAATCCTATTGCCCCAAAGGCACCAGGTGAGTTGTCTGATTTGTACAAAATTCATGACCTGTTTAAAAAAAAGCAATTTGAGTTGAGACCAGTGTGTTTTACACAGACAATCTTTCATTCACTCAGGTCTTTTTTCAATTCGACGCCACGAGTCTCCCCACCTGACAAACTGCCGCCCAAAATTCTGCTTTCAACGGCAGCCGCGCCCGCACAGCAAACTCTTCCAAGGTGTAGGAGGCGACAATGCGCCAGCTGAGGCCCCTTCCTTGAAGGGTTCTGGGCAAACTCTGGGGCCTTACAGGATTCCAGATTACTCCAAGCAAACAAGGGCCACACTGACCATCACAAAACACAGGGGAAAGGGTAGAGTAACGTAGTCATCAGGCTCACAAACAAATCAACGTAGTCATCTGGCTCTCAAACAAATCAGGCTGACAATCTGGGCCTTGCCCATGCGCTTGCTGAATGTTGGCAATGGCACAAAAGGAGGCACGCGGCGAAAGCGCGTTGCACGCTGTTGCGCAATTTCAGCCACGCTGCAAAAGACATGCTGGGGGCGAGCCTGCCTTGCAATTACATGTGTTTGCATAATTTCAGCCATGGCTGAAAGACCGCAGCCTTAGCCGTGATACGCGCTTGCTCCTTTTCAGTCATGGTGCGAAAACAGGCGCGCTGTCAAAGTGTGTTGCGCAAGCTTGCGTAATCCCAGCCTGTCAGACAGGCTGGCCGACAAAAGCGTTACACTGACACGCGCTTGCCTGCGCAGCCTCAGCCACGGTCAGCAGCTGACCGCGCGCTCCACTTACCCTTGTAGAAAATTCAGCCCCAGCCAGTGCAAAAAATAGGTTGATGGATAACCGCATTGCTGTCCCATCTGCGTGCATACTTACCTTCAGCCATGGGCCGTGCAGCAACAGGATCCTAGACTACTGTGTTGCAGTCAACATCTTTGCTACAGCCACAGTCAGGGCAGAGGTTGCTAGACAACAGTGTCACAGCCAGTTTATTACAATGGCCAGGCAAAAACTAGGTGACAAACAACCTGTTTTAGACTTAGAAGCATCACAGTCAAGAATATAGTCTAGCGCCCTTGTAACAAATGACAAGCCACAGCCCTGCACTTCCACATCACACGCATAACTTAACTATCATGTCAAAATCTATTTCACCCAGGAGAAAAAACAGGATGAGAGCCACCAGCGTTACAGTTACATATGCTTGTATTGCAAGAAGACATCACAACGACATGGAAAAGGCGCGTTCCTGCATAATGTCAGCCATGCAACACAGTCATCTCAGTGATGCACCCCTTGGCCCCACCTTCACGAAGCTCACATACTGTAAACCAGCGCAGCTCCGAGTCCCCGAACGCGCCGCTCTCGCAAAAGAACACCTGCTCCCAACCCTCAGCCACTTGCACCGCCTCCAATTTCCACATTAGAGCAGCGAATTGACAGAATCCCAGGGAGAGCCAAACTTCATTCTTGATGAGAAAACAATAGCCCAGATGCAAAGCCTGTCCCAGCCAGGTCCTGCCCAGCTCCTGCTCCACAGCCTCCAAGCTCGCCACGTCTGACAAGCTTGCGACAAAAGCCAGCGAAGAGGCTGTGCTCCTTAAAGTTTCTTTGGTGGCTGGAAGCAGAAACAGGGGCAAAGTATCTCTGTCACCATTTGCTTTGGGAGGCGCCTTGTCGTTCTGGTCCTTCTTACGCTTGCCAAGTAAGGGCCCCATATCCACCAAAGGAGCAACTCCCAACTCAGCATCTGCGAAGCCGATGTCAAAGCATTGCCCATGTTCGAAAGCTTTGCGGGCTTTCGCTTGGTTCCCCGGGGGGGGTAAAGATCCCAGTAGAGATGAGCCTCTTGTGCTTGAGTTTTTGCAGCCTCTGCAATGCTTCCCTGCGCTGTCAGGACTGGCAGGATTTTTTTTCATCACGACCTTCCAAACTCTTGGCCACCCCACTCTGTCGATTCCACATAGTCACTTGAGATGTGGGAATGTGTTCAAAGCTCCGCCTCAAGTCCCTGAAAACGTTTTCACAATACACCTTGGTAGTTGTTGGGCCGAAAGCTTCCCTCAACATCTTCTTCGCTGTTTCAGCAAGGTCGCTCCACTTGGTTTCCTCAAAGTGCATACACAGTTCACCTCAGACGCAGGGTCCAAGAAAAGCAATGGTTTCGGGGAAACCCACTGCGCCAAAGCAACAGCCCCCTTGTGGAACCCCAAAAAGAAGAACAGATGCTGCCAAGCAGCGGGTAAACTGGTCAGAGCACACATCCATGATTTTGTACAGCCGCGCAGTTTGCGGGTAAGTGGCTTCTTTCGCTAACAACTGGCGCTCGACATCAGCTGCTGTAGTGCCTTTCTCAGTGAAAAGCAATTTCTCCAAGGCCAGAATATTTTTCCACAGCTTGCGGATCTCTTGCTTGCAGCGCTTCAGTTTCTCTTGGTCGTTGTGCAACAGGCCACCCAATCGGTTTGGAAAAATATCACTCCAATAGGTCCAGTCCCAGCTGTATTCTGACATGTGGCCCACAATCAACCTCACAAAGTCTTGCGCTAAAGCCACAGCCCCTGACACAAGCTCTGGCGGTACTGATTCCAATCCGTGAGGATGCTGGAATCCCAAATTTGGCAGCAAAGACATATCCTGACAACCCCAGGACACAACGGAAAAAACAACCCTCACCCCACCTACTAACCAAACACTCCATTGTATGTATATGCGGGGTTTGCAGAAGCAGTGGTTATATTTGTTATTATAACTAAGATTGGGGAAGTGAACAAAGAATCAGACAAGCAACAGTGCATAGTGTTTGCCACACACGAAGCAAGTGGGCACCACGATTCACACTCCTCTCTGCGTTGTACTGCACACACTTGTCCATGTTTTTCTGGGCTTGCAGTGCTTCGTAATCTTCTAGGAGACCAACCAACCCTGCCATGTGCAATTGCCGCCCCCCGGAATTGTACCATGCGGTCGCGCAAAATCTTGTAGGCCAAAGGCAAAGTCTTTGGAATTTTTTCGCCGCAATTTGGCCAGGCTCTCTTCACCTTCTTCAGGTTGAGTTGATTGGCAAGCCTCTTTTAGATCTTTCTTCTTGCCCTCTGACTCATAGTAGATTTGAAGGCTGAGCCTTTCTGCTGTCCAGCTTGCGTCAATTGAGCGGAACTCTTTCTGCAAGGTCCAAAACCGCTTGGTGTCCATCTTAGTTGGGATGTGGCAAAGCTAAGATAATGACAAGTTAAACAAACAACTCAATAATAGCACTTAGCCAAGCTAAGCAGAGGCGCGCATGTCACACAAAACAAAGTGCAAAGGAAGGCACCCCTTCAGTCTTGTGCTGGACGGTCTTTGCCGCTGTCACTAGGTCCGCCAAAAGGTCGGAGGTGTAGCTCGCATCGCCCCACTGGTCAAACTGCTGGCCGGCCTCCGCCATCTGCAACACAGCAGGACTAGCTTCACAGATCTCGGCCATCTGGGCCATGAGTTCCTTCTTTTTGTGTAGGCTCTGGCCTGAACCGTATGGCGTCCTGTTCACACGTGACAAAAAATAAGATCTTGGCATTTGTGTCCTCATAGTGCGCGTGCGCAACAGCTTGTTTGTGGCTATTGTAGAGGCGATGGCTGAAGTCTCTGTCCAGCTTGACCCGCACACCTGAACTCTTCAAATACCGCTTAGCCAGGGCCAGAGAGGATTCTTCATCAGTGCACCAAATTAAGGTGTTGCCACCAAGCTCATGGCCATCCATTGGCATAGTAGGCAGCAGTCGTGAGGTTGGGATGAAGGAATCTAATCCTGGGAGTGAGATGCGTTACCTCTGTGGAAAAAAGACATAATCAGCCAGCACTGTTAAACTGTTAATCAAATGATCAGGTTTTTTGCGCAGAACAGGGCCTTGATGAGTCATGAGGCACACTGGCAACACACAGTAAACACAATGCCTCCCAGGCACCCCAATTGAAAGCGCCCCACAAACTTGAGGAGAGTTTGCGCAATTCCAGGGTTGCTGATTTTCTGATTTTCTCTGCTGACATCAGGCCACGGGTGATCTCACGCAAGCGTCCTTGTCCAGAAGTAGTGTCTGCCTCGTAAAGTCTTGCCCACCGGAAGGCTTGCATGTTGTTCAACGCCTGCACTATCTCTGCACGCTCCCGAAGTTCCCCCTCAGTGTTGCTCAGGTGCGTCCCCACCTGCGCTGGGAAGGGGAGGCAGTATGTTGCTGTCCACTGCAGTGGGAGGGTCAGGTGGGAGGGCCATGTTGACCACCTACCTGAGACACAGCAAGACTTACTAACAGACATGCCCCTGCCAACCACAGCATTTTCACGCGAGCTGCCAGTCAGCAAGCTATGTATCAATGATAACTTAATTAAGTTCATTTGCGCATCTCTCATTGTGGCTCAAGAATGAGGACTGATGAGATGTAACCGCGACCCTGAGTCATCGTAGGAGTCATCGTAGGAGCCATCGTAGGAGTCATCGTAGGAAGGCGCTGTTTCTGCTCAAGGGCTGGGGTTGTTGCCGAAAAAGTCGGCACTTCTTGGCACACAGCGTCACTGGGTGGAATTACTTCCCACTCCGCTTCACGAGAAAACCTCTTGCGCTCCGCTTCTTTGCCCTGCTGCTTCACAGGCGCTGCCTGAGTCTTGTTCTCCTGCTTGCCAATCTCGCACTGAACTTCCCAATGGGAGCGAAGAAGGAACTGCATCTCACCAATTGTCCCTTTTCCTGTGGGAATCAGGTCGTGTTGGCGGATCACTGCCTGCAGTTCTGGTTTGCTCATCTTGGAAAGTCCTGTAATAGGACAAGCTGGATGAGGAATCTTGTTGTATGCCTTCCGGTGCAAGAACTTCAGTTCTGTGACTGTCTTTTGATTGAGCCAAGCCTGATTGGCTTCCTCCATCTTGTAATAGAGCGCCAAATCATGGATCAGCACCGCCTTGAGTGTCGGTGTAGGTGATCCCTTGGACGGAGAGTGCATGTACGGAGGCTCCTCAGGGTTGGCCCAGCAGAGCGGGCACTTCTTGGACGCCATGAAGACGAGACACTCCGAAGGCTTCTCAATTTGAGCCAGGAGATC